TTTTTTTTTTTTAACTGGACATCTCTGGTTAACTGGGTTTAGTTACTCTTTCTTTCGGGCAAACGTGATAAGACGGAACATTAGGAAAACTACGTATGCTTCGATATTCTCGTGATAATTTTATTATGATATTTTTCTTAGATTTTTTTTTATCGATTTTTGTAGGTTTTTATAGGTTTTTGTTTCTTTTTACGTTGAAAAAGAAGAATGAAGAAATTTTGTGGAAATTTTTTAAATTTAATTGGTTTATTTTTATATTTTTTGACGGAATATTTATTTGATTTAGTACAAATTATTGCTGAAATTATTTTCTTCCATTCGTTTCTTATGAATTTTTATCAAATATTAAGTATAAGATACAAGTATTTGATATTATCTCAAAAAAATTTATAATGATAAAAATGATCTATCGAGTAAAAAAAAAAATAGATGTGTCTAATTAATAATTTAGAAATTTGATTCTATAAATATAAATTTAGTTTGTTTAAATCATTTTTTTTTTATGAATTTTTTAATCATTTGTGAATATTAAAATTTCAAATAGGAAGTTTACATTTCAAATATGATATTGATCTTCAATTAAAAATATTTGATATCCTAAAATACGCTAAATCACACATTTGGTTATTATATCAATTGTGAATAACAGCAATATTATTCACAAACAGCTTAATAAATGTCTAAAGATTACCATAAACTCTTTAAATAAGGAATTAAAGTATCTTACATTAATGGATTCCTTCATTCGATACGTATAAATAGTGAAACATCAAAGTATGATTATTTTAAAGGCATTATCAATTAATTCTAAAACGAGTGGCATGCTTGTTATAGTGGAACACGTGATGAGTTCGATTCCACCCACGGCTACTCTTTTCAGATACCCGTAAATTCGCAATTTATTTCTATTTCTGCAATGACAAATGTCAGTCCTTGAGCGAAGCTATGACGTAACGCTTTATCTCAGTGTCAATCTTGAAATTAATGTTCAACTACATCGCGTGAAAGTGTCGTACACGATAATTACGACCGGTAAACTGCTTGGTCATTAAATATGCACCAAAAAATGCCTCTCCCGTGCAATTTAATAGCCACGATAAATCTTATTTATATCTAAGTAATCGTTTTTAAGTATAATTTTCTCATACAGATTTTCGTATTATCTTAATATGAATAATAATTTGAATAACATAATGAATAACAAAAAAATTTCTTTTTTAAAAAAATATTAAGTTTTTTCTAAAAAATATATATATTTGTATTTATATGTTTATATATAGTGAATAAAATTATAAGAACGCCATCTTATCAAATTTATAAAACACGGATCAAAGATAAGTTAAATGCGATAACTATAATACAAACGATAATCATAAAAGCAATCGACGGATAGTCTGAAATTTTTAAACGAGTTTATGATGAAGCGCCATAACAGAGAAACTTGAGTATGAAAATATTGATAACGATAATAGATTTTCTTTTCTGTATGTTTTATTATCTTAAAAACCTATTTCGTTTGCGTCTTACAATATCATAACATAATATCGACAAAAAAAAAATAAACATAAATTGATAATTATTGAAATGCATAAGTTTAAAGGTAAATTAAATTTTATACAAAAATAGTGAATCTTTATTTGAATTAAAAATTTTAATTCAAACAAAATAAAATATCATTGAAAATATAAATATTCAAAACGTATATATAGATCGATAAATTAATTTTAAAATAATAACGATATAATAATTATAAACTATTTATAATCATTTTTACAATCACTCACTTTAATCGTTTGATGTCACCTTACAATAAAACCTATTTCATCGCGAACAGCGTATGAAATTGGTTACAAAATTGAATGGGAAGTAAGCCATTACGTTGAGTCAGGGAACTGTCCTTAATTTACCGGTTCTATGTTTCGAATTATTGATACAACGTTGTTAAGATAATTAACTTCTATAAGATTTCCATGCTTTCACTTTCTTTTCTACATAGCGACAACAAATAGATTTTAGTCTTATTTTCTTTTTTTTTTTTTCTTTTCTGTCGTTACCAATAGACAAAACTTGAACGAGTGCCGCGATTGCGCAAAGCACAATTACCTGAGCTGGACTCGAACCTTATTCCACAGATAATGCAGCTCGACAAGAAATTCAAATTATTCGCTTCTTGAAATATACTTTGTCTAATTTACATTTTACACGTCATACGATATAATTGATATGCAAATTAATATAATAAAAAAGTACTGACGTTTCAAGAAAAAAAGATGATAAATTTAGAATAATGTTTAAGTTAATTATTAAATCAATTTAACAACTAAACAATTATCAAAGTTTGATACAATATAATTTCACTTATAAAGCTGACATAAAATTATAAATGTCAATAAGATACTATTATGGCAAACTAAATAAATACTACGCAACTAATATTTTATTTCATTCTCCCTCCTCTAATATTATTCCCCCACTATTCTTTTCATAAACTTGAAAGAACACGCATTTTTAAAAGCTCAAAACAATAGAAAATGAAATATTAAACATTAATATCAATAAATTGAAACATGGTTTAAGAAGAAAACGATCATATAAATAATTGATTTTTGATAAATATAAATTGATAATTTTAATATAAAAATGTCAATTATCATTCGAATTTACCACATGGCATTAAAAACGTACATTCCATGGTCAAATCCGAAAGGTTAGTAAATCACTTCGTAAAATAGTCGTATTGAGCCGAACTAAACCGAGCATATAGATTGAGCAAGTGAAAGTGAGGTTAGGTTAGTAGCATCACGTGGTGCACCACGGGGTCCAAACGAGGTTAATCGAGAGACCAAGAACCGAGCGCCGGCGCAACCAATGAACATCAAATGTGTACTTACTATTCTATATTTCTTTTTTTTACAGCCAATTATAACGAATTTTTTTAAAAGAACTTTTGTTTTTCACATTTTTTAATATATTATTGAGTATCAATGAATAAAAACAAAAAATAAATAAAAGTAAAGAGTTTAAATATTACAATGAAGTAGTAGTAGTAGTATTCATATTCAGAAAGAATATCTATGACAAAGTGATTCGTCAATGGAATCAAGGAAAAAAACATGTTTGTTCATATTCGTTCGATCGCCGCTAGTCAGCGCTGAAGTAGTATTTGCGCGAATTTCGAAGAAAAGAAAAAATGCGCGTTCTAACAAGCGAAAGAGTTAGGGGGAGGAGGGGAGATTATCAAGCCTGTATAGTAAGATATTCTAAAAGAAATTTATATCTTACAAATTAGATAGGATCATAATAATACTTACCAATCAATGGAAAAATACTAGGTTGATCGAGCAGCGACTTGAGACTGTTTTCAACAAGAGTGGGAGAAGAACGATCCTTGTCACTCATTTCACGCACTGCGCCACGAAGCCGCACGTTCTGAAGGTACACACGCACACACAATCCGTTCGTATACGGAACACCGCACGAAAGAACGAACGACAGATATAGATAGACTTTCTACGTGTATACACGCGAACTAAAAGTGTGTACGCAGAGCAGAAACAGCACACATACGAATGTAACAAAGTAATAACAACGAGCACGCAGGCAACGAGAACGATGTGCCTCCCGTGGGACACAATTAAATGACGTTCTTCCAGACCGGCAGAGAGAAAAGGCGCCCGCACCCAAACCTCTCACCTCGTCACGCTGTTTCTACTATCACCCGAGACGGTCGCGGCCCGTTCGAACACTCTGGCCACGTTAAAATAAACGCGGAGCGCTACCCAGTGCACGGTGTTCTTGAAAATCAATCTAAAAGTGGATCGGTTAGTGGCGCAATCTCCTGGCTACCCTCTGGACCGACTCGCGAACAAGTGAACGACGCCTGCCGTTCTGATAACGAACACTGTCTGTACTTCTGCCTTATCGCGATGCGCGCGCATTCATCTACCCTCCCCCTCCCCCTTCTTTATAACATGGTTTCTTGGCCATCATCAGCAGTTTTCGTGAAATTTTCGATCTTGCGATGTTTCTTTATTTTTCCATTATTTTAGATTGTACAAATTTTAAATTTTCAAGTACGATCATATAAACGATATATAATATTTCTTATCTTTTTTTACTAGGTTTTTTTTGTGAATTTATTAATTCAGTGTTAATTGTGATTCGAAATCAAAAAGGCTATCATTCATCTTTCTTTTCGAATTTAAAGAAATTCTCTTTTATTGTTTATAGATTGTTAATAAACAATTGTATTGTAATTGATTGCAATCTTACAGAATCTTATAGATAATTTTTTGATATGTGATGTATATAAAAAAAAAAATAATGATAAATTTATAAATTTGTTATTAAATAATGAAAATAAGATATATAAGAATTACAGAATAAAATTATTAAGAATTAATAAATACATTGTTGATCAAATTGATTTGCATATTATATGTGCAAATGAAAATCAAATTGAGAAATATATATTTGAAACAATATTATCAGAATTATCAAAGTATTTATAAATGATAATAAATAAAAAATTTAATAATTATATAATTACAAATAATTTTGTTTTATGGTTAAAAAAAACTTTCGAAATATTGGATGCTCAATACTTTACTATTCTTATATATCATGTTTTATATACAAATCCATGAAAACAAAAAGTACAGAGTACAATTTTTAATGACTTGTGTTGATAATAATACTTTTAAGTACAAAATTGAACACTGTTGTGGAAGTTGAAATTGTTTGACATATTTTTAAGTATCTAAAAAGTATAATATTAATATAACATATTAATATTTTATGTTTGTCAATTATTTTCGATAATACAAATGTTGAAGATATTTTTTTATAAAAATTATTTTGCACATAACTATTAAGAATTATGTACATTTCTCCTATTAAATGTAAAAATACTAACTACACTTACATACATATTAACCTTCTAACAAAGCTCTGATAAAATTTGTATTCTCTAATTGCATCAAACTTAAAAAACCAATATTAAATAAATAAGAAATGAAAAAATATTTTAAAATAATATATTAATTAGTTATATTATCTTTACTCTTAAATTGTTTAAAAAAAATTTTTTTTTAAATTAAAATTTAAAAAGAAAAAGAACAAATAAGATGTAAATTAAATGGAGAATATTCTAAAAAAAAAAAAAAAAGAAAGAAAAAAAAAGAAAAAGAATTACATTATATAAATATTGTTGTACTATCCATGTTTGATCATCTGTTTGTTCACATTTCAATGTACCAGAAGTACATTCACCAGAGCTATCTCGTTTAGAAAGTATGTATTATCGTTCGTAAAATCATTTAAACCCAAACGCTTAAAGATTCGGTGGCGGTTTGGGAGATAAAACTATTACGCTGTTTATTAAAAAGAGCTTGAATTTCAGCTGGAGTCGACGACCATCTACGATGCCTGGCTTTTTCTACAGGTATCTCAGGTAAACCCACTTCCTGATAACCTTTTATAGGAGAGATTGATAATGCATTAGGTAAACCAATTTCTTGAAAAGAACTCATGGAAGAAAATCCACTCTCATCCTCAACACTGCTTACACTAGCGGCTGGCTTTGATTTCGAAGACTTGTCTTTCTCCTCTTCTGTTTTTCTATCATGCTTATTTGGCGTCGATGTTGGCGTACATGAGAAAATATGATCATTTGGCATAGAAACGTTAAAGCAATTATTATTATTTGAAAGTACATCCTCTTCTTCAGTGGTTTTGCTACTTCCCGAGTTAAGCGAAGTGGCATCGAGAGATCTTCTAATACCGGGAAGAAGATTCTGCAAATTTTGATCAATTTCTGTGATATTCGATGATGATTTAAAAAAACAGATTCTATTATCATTATCAATATTGCTCGATTCAGTTCCACGATTGCAACTGGAACGTTTATTATAAGTGCCATCTTCCCGTAAACTCGTGGAATTTATAAAGCTACCATTCTGCAATGACAGTGATATTTCGTTGTGATGATTATTATGGCGATGATGATCTATAGGCGAAGGAGAATTATTTTCTATCGACAGAATCCTAAAAAGATCGGGCTCTCTCATTGATAACAACGATTGAACGGTCCTCATTAACCTGGAACAATTAATTTATATTATTTCATTATTCTAAAATATCAATAATAATCATATAATAGCAGTTATACATAAAATTATTTCAAAAAAGTATATTACTATATATTACTAACCTGAATGCTTCTTGAGATAATTTTTCAGGTGGTATATCATTCGGATCAATCTCTGATTGTTTGGGTCTTCTATAAATAATACCGTCATGAGATTTATTGAAATCTTGAGATTTATTACGTGGAGGAGTACAGTGTGTCGGATCATTTCTACGAAGCATTGACCAGGTAAATTCACGATAGCTTGTGGTACATGGTGAGATCTGTGTGACTGATTTCGCCTCATGAAATGAGAGGAAGATGTTGCTGAAACAGCGCGATTCGGCGAGGAATCTGCATGAACAGCATGAACACTACGGCTACGTGGAACTCGTCCCATTGAATTCTTCTCTTTGAGATTATTCTTCTCATGAAGAATATCCAAGCTTTTGCGGGCCCGATCTAGGAAACGCACCACTTGCTCCATTAAAGAACGGTACATTTGTCTATTCGCCTCTGTCTGAAATATTTTTTCCAAGTAAATATTTTTTCATTTTATTAAATATTTAATATCTATACAATATTTTCATTTATATTATATTTGAATTTTATTTATTATATCATATTTTAAATTTTATTATTTTTTACAGTTTTGCTTGCTTATATATGTTTAATTAAAATTTAAAATTTTTTCACGTAAAATAAAGTATCAAAAATAGTACTTGAATATTTTTTTCAAAGTCAAATATAAAATATTCGAGAAATGGGAATAAGGTAATCTGGTCGAGGACATCAACAATTTCTTCTTGTAAATCAAGTATGTTAAATGTTCACGGTTGAATACAAACCTGTTTCAGTTGCCATTGCAATGTTTCAACCTGTGTCTGGAGGAAAACACTGTCGATCACTTGTACATGAGGTATTTGATTGTTCGTTAAAGCGTTCTGTAATTTTTGATTCTCTTCTATCAGTGATTGGCATTGCTGAAACAAAAATAATAAAATTAGTTATTTTTTATATTAAATTTCTAACTTTTGATATATTTATATTTAACAAGGAAAGTGTCCAAGCTCTCGACTTTCCTGAACGTAATAATCGTTTCAAAAGAGTAAAGAAGCATGGTACGATGTATATGTATACACGCGTTAATACAAGGTTTCACCTTGCGTAGGAGATTTTCACACGGTGGAGTGAACACGAATCAAACGTTAGTTAGAATATATGTCTGTTTATTGTGTGGACATTGCTTTTCCAATAGTAACATATTTTATTTAAAATAATACTTCGATCTAATAAATAGAAGAAGTGTAATGATAACTATAATTAATATCATATTTTTCAATTATGAAATTATCATTAAATAAACATTTATGAACAGTTACTTCAAAAACTTCAATAAAACCAGATCAATATGGTACTACTACTCGAATGGGTCCTTTTGTAACATTTGCATATTTCTTTCTTTTCGGTGGCAGAGTCGTGGAGGACGGGAATAAAAGAAGTTCGAAGAAACACGAGGTTTCTGACATTTCCATACAATGGCGGGAAAAATACGGTACGGGTTGCGAGATATCCGGCGATGGGCCATGCTTGATAACGAAGCCAGGACACGCGAGATGTTGAAAGAATCATGTGTTTATCATTCGAATCGGTCACCATGCGTTCCAACTATTAAAGTTGTCATTAAAGTCATCGCCAAAGATTTATTCTTATCAATGATTGGAGCAAAATTGCTAGATATTTCGAAAATTTTTAAATACTTTAACGCTAGAACCACTGACCTACAATATCGCTGCTCGTTTGCAGAATGATGACATAACCTAAAAGTTACGATTAGAGAAGGAAAACAACTTTGAATGTTTTGAATTGCATCTTATTATATTTTTTAAAATTTATATCGATTAAAAAACTATCTTTTATTTAACATAAATTTATCATTTATTAATTTCAAATTAAACAGTTGATATATCATGCAAGAAGATAAAACAAGCCAAGTCTTTATTTCTCTTTTTATTTATTCTCTCATAAAAACAATTTTTTATAGATATAATCCTTTACCTGAAATACTTATCTTCAACTACTATCACAAATCAACAATAATCACAAATATAATTAAATATTATAAATCACATTTTTATGCATCATAAATTAAATAAAATCATATACGATGAAATCATACGTTGATTTCCCTAATAATTGTAGAATCGCAAAAAAACTGATGATATTTTTAAGGTTAAATAAAACGGTATCGCAAAGGAGGTTAGGACGATGTTTTGTCTATGGTTTCTTTAACTAGGGTTTCTTTCAGTGTCGAGAATCGAAAGCCACATAAGGGAATTTGTACAGAAAGTTGAAATTTTCAGTTAGGGACCTAAGCGGATGGGGTTCCGCATGGTCGCTCAGCTTGAACCGTCCACCGGCTGAATACTATCATGACGTCACTCGCTACGGTCACTGCCTGAATTATTCAGTATTTCTTCGTTTCTACTTGTACACACTAGCTAGCTACCTCTTTGTACCTAATAGCCATCTACTACTCGGACAATATTATTATACAGGGTGTCACTAACTAATGATATTATAAGCAAAGGGATGATTTTTAATTCAATTAAATTCTAATTTCTAATTAAATTCAATCGAATATTAAATTTATTTTAAAAATAATTAAATTTTAATGAAATCGTTTAAGTAAAAAGTTACATTAAATAATTTTATAATTTCAATCTTTTTTATTTCGACTTTTTGTATTATTTTATTTTTTTGAATAATTTATTATTATATTTTAGTAGTATATTTTATTAATAGTATAAAACATTTCAGGTAAAATGGATAAAAAGATTCCCTAGAACAGAAACGTTTGGGGGAAGTCCTGTCTTGACCGACAAGAGGGTGCAGCCATGCAGACATGGGGTGCAAGATTCTATATAGTATATGTATGAAAAAATCAATTAAGAAGATTTAGAATAAAACTTGTTGTTTTAAGTCTTCTTTTTAATCAATTTTTGCAATGAATATTAACTTTCCAGATTAATTTTTGCATCCAGAGTATAACCTAGTCGTATAATTTAGTTTAATAATAATATTAATAATAATTAATAATCAGGATTTTATTTAACTTTTAGGAATCATATTTTATCCTTTGAGATCGTAAAACTGTACGAATATTTATTTTCCAAATGAATACATATAAAACAAAGAAAAAAATTGTAAGAGTTGAATACAATTACAAGTAGAAAATTAAACGGCACTCGTAAAATTAAATAGATTACGATAACATCGATAATAAAAATTAAGAAATTTCCAAAAAAGAGTATAGCCGATTAAGGATGATTCTTAAAAGATTTTTATGCCTGAACGCGAGATAAAATCGGATGCAACTGATTTAAAACGCACGATCATGAAGGAATCAGAAACGCGATACAATCTAGAAAATATGTGACAGAATGAAGTCATGCAAGAATAAGAAAGAGAGGAAGACAAATGTGCGAGGAGGAGAGACAAATGCATTAAGGGGTGATTCCAAAATGGCGCACCTCCGCCGCCGAATTTATTTTTGGTGCATTCCAGTCAAACGAACACAGAGAGAGGTCGGTCCAGCCGACTGGTAACGTGCAGACGATGTTTCGCTAGGAAGATTCGTTCCCATCTTCTTGTTGGAATACTCGAATTATTTTTCTTTTTCCTTTTTCCTCCTCTCTCTCTTTTTCTCGTCCCTCGCCATGCTCTCTTTCCATTTCCGCCGTGGTTACCGCTGCATACTCGAACATCGCGAAAGAAATCTTCGCTACGATGTTCCTTTTCCCGCCTCCCCGAATATCACCGATAAAGAACGATCGTAACCGAATGCGCATTTCGTCGATTTTATCTTTCGGTTAATTATTAAAACAAATAACACCAGTGGTAATCGTGCTCGTTCATCGACGTTTTTCTTACGACGAGATTTTTCATTGATAAAATATACGGGAAGTCGTTGGAGATAAGAAATATTATAATTAATATTTCCGCAGAAAAACGAATATATCAATGGAAACTCGTTAAATAAGAGAACTCTTGGTGGAAATATGTGTTACTATGTTTATGGTGAATTGAAGAAGAGGTTATGTTGAAGCTAGTTTTGTGTTTGATCGATCTTGTATAATATTGGGCTAAATATAATAAAGAGATTGAAGAATAAGATTCGAGTGTATTGAAGAGAAATAAATATTTATGGATAATAATAATACTTAAAAGATATCTATTATTTATTAATTTAATTCTACTATTTACTTGAATTCTAACCTAAATCTTACAAAACGTTTCAAATTTATATTTCATGGAAATCTTAAAATTTATAAATTGTTAAATTTTAAATTCCTAATTTTGCTTTTAAATTTCAAAATTAGAAGCATTGTATCTCCGATATTCTGTTCAAATAATTCTTCGATTTCCGAACAGGGCACCGGGACGATGTTCGAATTAAAGTGTGTAATTACGTGTTTTGTATACTAGACGAGCCTGTATATTCATGATGCGTCAAATCATCGAATTTGCACATCGGTATGATACTCGCGTAAAATGTAATTTCCACGGACAATAAGATGTAGCGACACGCGGATGTGGAATACTAATCACGAGGTCGATGAATCATAAAATCGCCGGTTCCTTTACTCAGGATCGATGAATTTAAACATCTAAACATAATGATAATACTTTCCATCGGAATTTTCTTTTTTTAGAGAGCGAAACACACAGCTCCCTGCTTCTTACGCAATCTTTTTTTCGAGTCTGGTTTTTAGTACTAGTAAAGAAGAAAAAAAAATGGAACAAAGAAAAAAAAATGAAGATTGAAGAAAAACTTTTTTTTCTAAGTATTTTTTAAATTTTAACAAAATCTGTGCATCAAATTAATAATGATTCAATATTATAAATTTTACACATATGAAAGTAAAATCGAAGTTTCATTTCTAAGAATGAAAGTAATGAAATAACGAAGGATAAAGAAAAAAACAAGAGCAATTAAAATGATGGTATTCAGGATTCTAGAGAAAGTTATGATAGAAATATGATAAAAATAAAAAATAAATCAAATCGAAAAGATAAAAAAAATGAACGGAAATGTGTTAATAATGTAGATTATTTAAAGAATGGCAGCTAAGAAAATCAGATATAAGAGAATGTGAGAATGATTTTCAATAACATTACGATATTTTATCTGACTCATGTGTAAGTAGAATCCAAATAGTTACGAGTAATTTAAAATGTAACACATTCGTTGTTTTAATCAATTAATTAACCAATGAAGAAATTGATTGGTATATGTTACAAATTGCTAAAAAAAAGAAC